GGAGTCTGGGATTTACGGCTTTGATTTTAGGGTCTAGGGCTCAGCGCTTTAGGGTTTAGGGTTTAGGGCTTTGACTTTAAGGTCTGGGATTTAGGGCTTTGATTTTAGGGTTTAGGGTTTAGGGGTTTGGCTTTCGGGTTTAAGGTTTGGGGCTTTGGTTTTAGGGTTTAGGGTTTATGGGATAGGGGATAAGGGTATGAGGGTTTGGAATGATTTCGGGGCTTAAGGATTTACGGGTTAGGGTTTAGGATTTCAGCGTGTTGGGCTTAGGGTTTAGGGTTTAGGGTGCTAGGGTTTAGGGCTGTGCGGTTCGAGCGTCCGTTCCCTAGGTATTTTTGTGTGATTGTAAGTTCCTTAAATATAGGGTTTGGGGCGTTGGCTGTTTGCCTTGATGGTTTAGGTTTAAGGCTTTCGGCTTGTAGGGTTTAGAGTTTAGGGTTAATTGTACCGGTTCAGAATGCAAAATGACGAACAACAACAGATCTGAGTCCTTGATGGCTCGAACTGGAGAGCTTTTTAGGGGCGCCATAACCCAGACAAAGCAAGAACAAAACCCTTAAACCTTAGACCCTAAACCCTGCAGCCGGGGTGCTTCCGGTGAGGTGAGTCCACCTGACAGCCCCGAAGCACTGTAGGGTTGAGGGTTTAAGGTTAGGGTTTGGGGTTAGGGTTTGGGGGTTTAGGGCTTAGGGTTTAGGGCTCAAGCCCAACTCCTACAAAGCCCCATGAACACCTCAAGCAGCCGAACCCAGAACATACCCAATAAACGCCCAATCTGCACAATTCCTACGTCTGGGACTTGGAGACCAACCCTCATAACAAGCACCCACGGTTTAGGGTTTAGGGTTTAGGGTTTAGGGTTTAGGGTTTAGGGTTTAGGGGGCTCTGCACAAAGCCGTAGCCTACGTCAGGGATTGGGCCATAGTGCCGCATCTGTGAACTTTATGTTTATATACCCTGAACCCCAAACCGTAAACCCTCAGCTTTAGAGGTCATAGTGGGTTGGCTCTATGATTCTATCAGGAATCCTAGGGTTTAGCGTTTACGGTATCAGGAATCCAAAACCCCCGGTCCCTCAAGCCTAGCCCAGAGTTTTCAAGGCATCGTGATGAGTTGCGAAAACGATGATCTTATTATGCAAAACTCAAGTGTAGTTTCGACCCTAGGGTCGCAGTTTTGCGTCGTGCTTGCAGTGCCTTGCAGTTTCCTGGCAGCTGTAGCCTTCAGTTTCGTTGCAATCCAGACCCAGGCGCACCAGTGCACCAGCCATAGAAGCCAATGTAGGGGCCTTAATACTTAGAATAGGGCCTTGGGGCCCAGTATACTATACTTATAATAAGGAACCCCCAAAATAGTATAGGCACACTCCTAAACCCTAAACCCTAGACCCTACACCCTAAACCCTAAACCCTAGTATGCCAATACAGTGGCCGCGGGTCTGCCATGGCCGCGCTGCTCTGCTGCTGGAGAAGATGGGCCAATTGGGCGCAGCGCTGAGCGATCAGATGTCGGATCATTACTTAAAGGATCATGGGACTTAGTAAGTAGGGTTATAACTAAGGTAGCTATACTTATAACCCCAATTAGGGGACTTATAACCTTACTTTCTACGTCCCATGATCCTCCAAGTAGACCCTAAACCATAAACCCTAAACCCTAAACCCTAAACCCTCGAGATTGGAGGCTGGCCCGGGCCCCTAAACCCTAAACCCTCAACCCGCGCGGCTGCCCATAGTCATCTGGGTAGTTGTCAAAATTATGGTCCCTTTTGGGGTACCCTAAATAATAGGTGCCGTATTATAATCAGGACCCCAAAAGGGACCATAATTTTGACAACTAGTCATCCGAGTCTTCTTCACCACCGGCCTCTTCGCCTCCGCCAGTCTTGGCTGCAGAAAATAAAGGGTTTAGGGTTTAGGGTTTAGAGTTTAGGGTTTAGGGTTTAGGGTTTAGGGTTTAGGGTTTAGGGTTTAGGGTTTAGGGGGCAAAGACCATCGGCCATGCTCAATGGGCGAAGTTCCCAAACTCAATACCCCAAAAGGCCCTAAACCCTACACCGAAGCCAAAAACCCAAAACCCCAAGCCGTCCGCAAGGGCAGGGACTGCTGTATAATCCCAAAAGTGCACTGTTAGGTCCCCAGGATACTGGACAAGTACGGGCTACATGCGATCTTGGAACTGTATAAGGTTAGGCCCTAAGCGCTAAACCCTAAGACCCCAACCCCTAAACCCTAAACCCTCAACCATAAACCCTGAAACCCTGAGCCCTAAGCCCCGAAGCCTGACCCCTAATCACCGAACACGTATACCCCATGATCAAAAGGAATTAGTTCGTAGGGCTTTAGCGTTGAGGGTTTAGGGTTTGGGCTACCGGCAGGACCTGGGCTTAGGGTTTAGGTATAAGGTTTGCATGTACTGCAATGCAAGAATCAGCAAGACCAGATCACAAGGCAGCAAGGGTGATGTAGGGGCCTTATGAATTAGAATAGGGCTTTGGAGTATACTATGCTTTAATTATATGAAGCAACCCCTAAAATGATATAGGCAATTTTTCCCGGAGCCCTAAACCCTCAACCCTAACTGCCGGCCTTGTAGTAGGTCATGAAGCTGCTGTCGGACGATTCGATCTGAAGCCAAGCGTGGCAACAGAGTGGGGTGGTGGGGGTTGCTGGGGCCGGCTTTACAGGGATTTGTAGGGTTTAGGATTTAGGGTTTAGGGTTTAGGGCCCTAAACCCTAAACCCTAATAGGGGTTTAGGGTTTAGGGTTTGGGGGTTTAGGGTTTGGGGGGTTTCGGATTTAGGGGTTTGGGGTTTAGCGTTTGGGGTTTAGGGTTTAGGGTTTAGAGTTTAGGCGTTTAGGATCTAAGGGTTTAGGGGTTTAGGGTTTAGGGGTTGAGGGTTTAGGGGGGTCCAGGGTTTAGGGGTTTAGGGTTGAAGGGTTCAGGGTTTACGGGCTTAGGGGTTTAGGGGTTTAGGGGTTTAGGGTTTGGGGTTTGGGGTTTAGGGTTGAATATGCCTTCAGCTGACATGAACCCGAAACCCTAAACCTCGAAACCCTAAAACCTGATGACATGACCGGGATCAGCGAACCAACCCACAGTGAGCAGCTGTAACCCTGCCCTAAACCCGACTTGGAAGGTCGGGGGACTTAGTAATCAAGGGGTTCCCTAGCCGTGCTACTTCGAGCAGCGTGCTTCTAAAACTTGTGCATGCTACCTCGACCTTCTGTCTTGTTCCGAGGCCAGCATCGACTGTCTGCAGATTTGCTAAGATTCGCTCGCTCATCTGCAGGTTTTGTTTGCTTGCAGCCGGGATTTTTAGAGCTTTTTCGCTGGGCACTGGAGCGGTTCGCGAACTTGAGTGCTCGTTTTCGAGATATCCTCCTGCATTCCTGCATTCCTGATTTTGGGTGACTTCGCCGACTTATTTCGATGCCGGACAGCCTCCAAAGAAAGTCGTCTGCTCTTGGGTTTTTCGACTCTGGAGAGAGGCCTGAGTCGGATCCATGGCCGGCCAGGGTCTTCGGCTCATTTGATTATTTTAAAAAGGAAATGCGGATCCCCGGTGTTTTTGGCTGTCATCTGCGTGCTGCCTCGTCCCCAGTACAGGTCTGTGCGTGCTGCCTCGTTCGCGTGCGTGCTGCCTGGTTCGCGTGCATGCTGCCTCGCTGTGTTGCGTGCTGCTTCGTTGTCCTGCGTGCTACCCGGAAATTTTGTTCACGCGTGCTGCACGCACCTGGCGGACGCAAAACATTGAGGTGGCCTGCACTGTTTTTAGAACGCAAGCGATTCTGCCTAAACCACCAAAACCCCACGCATCTGCAAAAAAAATGCGTGCTGCCTCGTTTAACATGACTGCGTGCTGCCTCAAAATTTCCTGTCCCGCAGACACACGCGTCAGGCGTGCCGCGGCGCGCTCGGACCGCGAGGTGGAATGCTGTTCCCAACCGCACCCGCAGCTCAGGATGCGAGAGGCCAAACGGTTCGCAGACAGACTGGAGTAGCTGCTAGAGCCCTCAGCTTGCATATCAGCGTGCTGCCTCGACCCGAACGTGCTGCCTCAATACATTCCTGCCCAAGACCTGAGATGTATTCTCATAGGGCCCCACTCGACCTGGGTCAACATATTTCACGTGCTGGACGTGGTTGGGCAAAGCTGCCGATCCAAGGGGACAGGAGCGAAAGCGGGAGAATCGTGCTTGAACTGAAGAGATGATCCTGCTTGAGCTGGCGTTGGGTCAGTCAGAAAGAACAACTAGAACAATGAAGACGGGATTCTAGCTACATCTGCTTGAGTGTTTTTGTGCTGGCCGATACAGGGCATGGAGCTCACTGGATCAAAGGGCGAAGTCCACAGCAACTGCGTGTGGTACGCGAAGCAGATGGCTGAAGCAAGAGAGAAAACAAGAGCAAGCGAGGCAGCATGCAAGATTTTTAGCAGCATGCAGGGCCAGGCAGAATGCATAGGGAGGGCCTTGATTGAAGGCTGCTGTTTCGTTTAACCGGTTCCTTTAAGACCCTAAGCCCTAAACCCTAAACCCTCGGTTCCTTTACGGGTTCCTTGAATTACGAAGGGCTCTGAGGGGCTCATTTTTTGGCTGGGCTGTCAGAGTTTGGGGGTTTCGGGGTGGAAGAGTGCGAACTGGCGACATGGTCCCAAACCCCCTTTAGGGTTTAGGGTTTAGGGGCTTAGGGTTTAGAATTCAGGGTTTAGGGTTTAGGGGTTCAGGGTTTAGGCTTTAGGGGTTTAGGGGTTTAGGGATTAGGGTTTAGAGGGGCCATGTATCCATACAGAGTCTACTTAGGCTTGTAGAAACGGGTTCTGTATAGGTACCGCAGGCATACAGTACAAAACAGCATATACTTGTACTATGTGCCATATGACAATCCCTACAACAAACCTGAAAAACTGCTTTACTGGAACCTTGTATCCTAAACTACCCTAGAACCTTCTACTGCCCTTGTAGAACCCGTTTTGACTTGAACTCTGAAGAAGATCCTCATAGCACCTTCAAGGGGCCCCATAGACTCCCATTGTTCTCGAACGAGTCCAGGTAGACGTAGTTGAGGAGTGAGGCGAATGCCAGGGCAGTAGCGCGGATCTTGCCGCGGTAGAATCCGCCGCCGTCATAACACACGAACTTACTTTCTTGACCAAGGTCTCCCATGGGGTAGCCAGCCCACTCGGTAGAAATGCCGAGGCTGGACATCATCTCCATGACGTACATGTCGTGGCCGATGTCCTGTATGGCTCCACTGCCCACGACGGCGCACTCGCCCTTGCAATCCCCGTAAACGGCGAGGTCGCTGGCGTCGGGTCCGGTGACGCGGACCGTGACGAAGGAGTGGCGGTTTCCGCAGGGGCTGCGGCCGAAGGACAGGTAGCCGCGGGCTCGCGGGGCAAGGTAGACGCTCTCCTGGAGAACGCCGACGCTCAAGACGAACCCGGCGGAGCATTTAGGGTTTAGGGTTTAGGGCTTTGGGTTTAGAGTTTAGGGGGTCCTCATGGCACCGTTAAGGGGCCGCATAGACCAAACCTTCTATAAGGAGAAACCATATCCAATTTCTCCGACCCCTAGCTAGAGTCTTTATTGAAGTTGCTGTTCTTGGTTGAACCAACCTTATATAGTGGGATCCTAGCATTAAAAATTGGCTAGCCAAACAAAGAACTACCATGGAGACTTTAGCTATATTACGTGGATGGACTCCTAGGTAAAAGGTCCCATCCTTGGCTGAGGACCGCGCGGAACCAATCTCAGTTGCACGAGGCCTCTGACAGGGGTGTAGGGTCCTTTGAGGGGTCGATAAGGGATTTAGCGTTCCTTTCAGTCAACCTTATCTGAGCTGGGGTCATATGCAAGTCAAGGGGGAGTAGTCTGACCCAAAAACCTAATACCCCATAAACCCTACACCCTAAACTCAAACCCAATCGCCTTACTCATTACAACTCGATTTGCTGTGTCTTCTGATCTGGAAGCGTCTATTTTTGGGGGTCTAGGGCTAGGTTTGGCTGTGGGAGAGCGAAGGCCAGAGGATTTGTAGGGATTTAGGGCTTTAGCATATTATAGGGTTCAGCGTGCAGGGCTTTCAAGTCTAAATCACCGAACCCTAAACCCAAGACCCTAAGCCCTAATTATTTACACACACACTCTCTGTTCAGAGACCCCTTTCCTGAAGACGACGAGCTCAGCCCGGCCTACGAAGCCCGGAATAGAAGACCTGCTTTGGTGGCGGTCTGGCACTAGAGGTCTAAAACGAGGCGGCCGTAGTTAGAGTCTAGGGTTTAGGGTTCAGGGTTTGAGGTTTAGGGTTTAAGGTTTTAGGGCACTTGAACCCTGGCATGCAAAACTGTTTTGCGGTTGCCGGCACGAGGGTCTCTGCTATGGACATCGGCGGCATGCATGAATTCCAGAGGAGGTTTGGGCACCTGGCCACTGCACAAAAAGATTCAAACCGCGAAATTTCTACGCGCGACTCCAGAACCTGAAACCCTTAAGCCCTACAAACCCGTACTTGGGGCTTTCAAAGGGTGCGTGTAGGGTTGATGAAAGTATGAACAGTAGATGATATCTTGAAAAGCAGGCTTCTACTAATTAGCGAGGCTCCTCACCCCTACACCGCCGCTGACTGCGTGGTTCGTTCGCCCACATGGCTGCTGCTCGCCATGCACAGCATGGCCTTAAACCCTAAACCCTAAACCCTAAATCCTAAACCATGGCCTTTGCCCAAGCCTGCTTCGGACATGACCCTCTTAAACATTAGCCAGATGCAAGATGCAGAGCCCCTGATTTACAAGCGCCCTTCTTGGAGGACCAGAACCCCAAGGGTCCATGTACCCAACTTGTATATACTTTGGCCTTAAAGTAGTCCCTATATAGGTACTTTGGGCCCAAAGTATATACTTGGGTACATGGACCCTTAGGGTAACGGGTAAACTCCGACATCCGAATGCCTAAAATGCAACGTTGCTTGTAATCAGGGGTCTGCGTTGCTGCAGAAAAAACAAGTCCACAGGACCCGAAACCGAATCACGCTTCAGGGTTTAGGGTTTAGAGGTTTAGGGTTTAGGGTTTAGGGGTTTAGGGTTTAGGGGTTTAGGGGTTTAGGGGTTTAGAGTTTAGGGGTTAGGGTTTAGGGGTTTAGGCTTTTGGGCTTAGGGAACCCTAAACTTATCAGAATCGACAGAGTTCCTACTGTCGGGGAGCACATGTAGGAACATTGGTGCAACTGCTAGGGGATCCCTCATATTCGGCTCCGTGCGGAGAACGTTAATGTGGTTTAAGATTTGGGGGGCTCTTTGTAAGTTAATAACTAGTTTAGGGTTTCGGGTTCACCTTAGGCGTTGGACCAGGGTTTGGGGTATATTGTAGTACAGCGGTAATAGCTAAGCCGTAAGAAACACTATAGGAATTTGTTCAAGCTTACCGAACATCTCCCAGACATAGACTCCAGCAAGGAATCGTGTCAAATCTTCATTACTTACAGACTGTAACAACGCCCTGAACAAATCCGCAAAATATCATAGGGGTAGTTCTCTAAATTAGGGTCCGCTTTCAGGTCCCCAATATAGTACGGCACGCTTATGTAAAAATGATCCTACGAGGGACCCTAATTTAGACAACTACCCATAGCTTGCTGACTGTTCACAGCTTCGGAACCCTGAACCTTAGTACCCTAAACCCTAAACCCTAAGCTGTAAACCCTAAGCCCCTAAACCCTAAACCCCAAAACCTTAAACCCTGAAGCCCTAAACCTTATACCCCAAACCCCTAAACTCTGAAACCTTAAACCCTAAAGCCCTAAACCCTAAACCCAAAACCCCTGAACCCTAAACCCTACAAACCATGATCCCTAAACCCTATACCCTGAAACCTAAACCCCTAAACCCTAAACACGACTTCGGAGTTTGAGGTTTCGGATTGTCATTATGGATGTTTCAGGGCTGGGGCTTGAGGATGAGCTGTCAACCAACTAATGTAGGGACCTTCATACTTAGAATAGGGTTTAGGGTTTAGGGTTTAGGGTTTAGGGTTTAGGGTTTAGGGGTTCCTTTAAAGGGATCCTTGAAGGGTTCTACAAGGGATCTATATAATAGGGTTCTATAGTAGGGGCCTTAATAATGAGAATGGTTTTGGGGTATATCATGGCATGTCATGCAATATTTAACCCTAAACCCTAAACCCTAAACCCTAAACCCTAAACCCTAAACCCTAAACCCATTTACAATAAGGAATCTTTCCGAATCCCGACGGCCCTACGACGTTCCAAACTACACCCTGATGTAGGAGCCTTGAGAATTCGAATAGGATTTCGGGGCCCATTATAGTATAGTTACAATAAGGAACCCCCAAAATAATATAGGTAATTATTGAGGCCCCTACATTAGTGATTTTCAACTCCTGTGGAAACAGACGCCATTCCGGGTTCGGGTTTAGGTTGCTGCTCCTTGTCTTGCGCGTCTGTCCTGGGCAGGGTCTCATGGACTTCTGGAGCCTTCTCTCTGTGCTCCAGTAGAAAGTAACCTGCTATAGGGGCCTTAATAATTTCCTATACTTTTTTTTTTGGGGGGGGTCCTTGTTAAAACTATAGTATAATTATATACCCCAAAACCCTATTCTAATTATTGAGGCCCCTAAACCAATAAGATCTTGGAGATCTCAGGATAGAAACCACAGTCCCAAGAACCCAACAAAGCAAAACACACATTCACCCGAAAACCGTACAGGTTGTAGTGTGTTGCACTGCAGGGCTTGGTTGGGGGGGTCCCAGATTCCAGATAGGTGCGTGCATATACCTGCCTACATGTATGAATGTAGTTGTGCATGGATGCATGTATGTATGTTACGGATGTATGCATGTGTCCTATGCATGTATCTGCATGCTGCATGTGTATCTATATGCAAATACAAACACACACACACACACACACACGTGTACACATGCATCTACTTGGTGCTGCAGTCACTGGCCAGGTGTTTGCTTATGATTTTTCTTGGGCACTAGCTACTGACAAGCAACCATGTAGATGTAGACAGATCTCTTGATTGGTAGATAGACAGCAGATAAGAATAGACACACGCACGCATGCAAACTTTGAAACCATAGACACGTACCTACATACATAAAACGTACAAACAAACAAACAAACAAGCAAACATACATACATACATACATACATACATGCATGCATGCATGCATACATATACACAACAATCCATCCATCCATCCATCCATCCATCCATCCATCCATACATACATGCATACATACATATGCACATACGAGCATACATACACGCATGCATACACATCCTGAGGATGGCTTCGTCATCGATATCAGCGGGTGAGGTCTGGTAGCCCAACCTCAGATCCCCTCATCGCCTAAACCCTCAACCCTGACTTGAAAAGCCAGGACTCGCACCCCTGGAATAATATAGAGTAATACGGTTTAGGGGTTTGGGGGTTTAGGGTTTAGGGGTTAGGGTCTGGGAGCAAAAAGCTATAGGCCTCTTGCCAACTTTGTGACTCCCGAAACTCATCCAGCATGCCTGTCGCAGGGTCGGCCCAGAAACTCCCGCAAGCAAACGGATCTTCTATTTCGATTCTGGGGTATGCAGAAAGGATCCCCAGCCATAAACCTAAACCCTAAACTCCTGGCAATAGAAGAGAAGTTCGGAATTTGAACCCGGAGATATCTTTGATCCTCAGGACGGGGCTTTTGGGCCCCCTGCAAACATAGATTTTCGGAAATCCCTCTCTCTACGCTTCAGGGCTTAGGGCGCATATATATATATATGTATATATATTCACAGAATGAGCCATAACCACAAAAAAGAACAACCTCAATTTGAACAAGAAAGCTACCAAAAACCCTAAACCCCGGAAGGCACGGGAGTCCTCCCCGCTTACCGAGGCGGAGCCCATCCTCGAACGAGGGAAACTTTGGGTTTCTTTTTGGGTTACTTACAGGGTTCCTTAATTGGAGCTAGGGTTTAGGGTTTAGCGTTTAGGGTTTAGGGTTAGGGTTTAGGGTTTAGGGTTTAGGGTTAGGGTTTAGGGTTTAGGGTTTCGGGTTCCTGAAAGGGCTCCTGAAGAACAGGGGTTGCTTGCAGGGTTCCTTGCGGGGTTTCTTAAGAAGGTGACCTCACAGTTCCTCAAGGGGTTCAGGGCTGAATCGATGGGGTCCTTAAAGTTACCCAGAGAGCCCAATACCCCTTAATTAAGGGATATCGGTTAAATTATAGGGGCCTTAGTATTATGATTTGAGGTATATTCCTTAATTAATGGGTATTGGGCGCTCTGGGTAAAGGACTCCAGCAGTGATCTTTAGGGCTTAGAGTTTCTACCAGGGTCCCCTAAACCCTAAACCCTAAACCCTAAGGTTCCGCAGGGTTAAGGGTTCCACAGGGTTTGCGGTCCT